TAGGGTGGTATGGTGGCAGATGTGAAAAGGGGAGTATATGCATGGGAAGAAGCCTGCCTGCCACACGATGTCATCTCCATCTCGGCGTCCAGCCCTGCCCAGCCGTTGCCCACACGATCCATTCCGTGCTTTCTTCGCAGACCGTCGACTCCAGCCCCATCTCCACGGTGGCCAAGGCCGAGCTGCGGGGCGAGCTGCAGACCCAGCTCAAGGCAAGCATGGCTTGCCTGGGGGGTGGGTGGGTGTTTGGCATGCGAGGCATGGGCACGAGTCCAACCGGTATTGCCTTTCCCAGGATCCCGCTCCCTCGCCTGGGTACCGCATCTGCCTCCCTGAGCATACGCATACACGCGCATCACCCTCCCTCGCCCCTTGCACACAAGTACAGAGGGTGCTGGACGAGCAGAAGCGCGAGGCGGCGGCGAATAAGGACCGTGCCGTGGCGGCGGCCGTCACGGCCGCCGACGCCGCGGCGGCGGTGGGCTCCCGCTTCCTCATCACGCGGCTGGACGTGGGCTTGGACGCCAAGGCGGTGCAGGAGGCGTGGAACGCCATCGCCAAGGCCCACCCCTCCCTCCCCGTCCTCCTGGCCTCGGCGGGGGAGGACAAGGCCCTGGTTTTCGCCGGGGTGCCCAAGGAACTGGCCCCCGGCTTCCCTGCCGGCGAGTGGCTCAAGGCGGCGCTGGGCGCCATCGGCGGCAAGGGCGGCGGCAAGCCCACCTTCGCCCAGGGCATGGGCCCGGAGGTGGGCAAGCTGGACGAGGCACTGGCGGTGGCGGGGAAGCTGGCCACCCTCAAGCTGCAGTGAGGGCGGGCTGGGGAGAGCTGGATGCTGGCGAGGGACAGCTCTCAGGCCTCGCCTGGCCAAGCCGCAGCCACTCCGCTGGTGCCTTGAGATGACCTCATGTCCACGGACCCCTGCATGCCTCTCATCTGCTTTTCAGGCCATGGTTGGGGAAGATGACCCACTTATGTATTGTAAGATGCATGGACACCAGAGAGCCGGTGGCCCCACGAGACGACCGCTCGGTCACATTGAGAGCGGGTGCCGGTGGCGGATCAGGGCGCGAGAGCGGGGTCGGGCGAAGGAGGGTGGAAGCCTGCGCCATGCCCACGGAAGCCGTGTGCAGCAAGATCGCGCGTTACACTGGGACAGCCACGGTATGTTTCTCCTCGTCACCGGGTAGACTGGGCGCGGCTCGACACAAGGGACTTGTGTGCTGATCGAGACCTAGCCTCGACATATCTGTGCGATTGTGGAAGCCCAGCTCGGTCAACAGGTGTGTACTGTTTTCCCTCCCACCGTGATGTGGTGTTGAGTCCACCCCATGCGTACATGGTCGATGCGAGCCAGCCTCGCAGTCGCTCCTGCGGGGGCCCCTGGCGGGGCTTGCCCGCCTGGGCTCGTTGCGCGCTCCGGGGCAAGCCCATGGGCAGCGCCGATGTAGAGCTGCAGGCAGCCCCCTTTTCCTGGTGCGAAGGCCTTTCCACATGCGTACCTGGTCCATCGGATGCTGGCTTAGTCAAGTCTGCTCTTACCGCTCCTCATAACCCAAAGTCAAGCCCTACCCCCACCGCCGTCCCCAGGCCCCAGAACCCCCGCCGCTCCACCTACAGCGCCTTCTGGCGCCGGGCCGCGCCCTTCGTCGCCCTCTGCCTCCTGGTGCTGGTGGCCTACAACCGCAGGTCCCTCTTGCGCCATGCCCAGGACGCCTTTGCCGCGGTGTACTACAAGTCCGACCCGGCCATGATGGGGCGCAGCCATTCCGCCTTCCCCTCCCCCGTCTGCTGCACGGGCCAGAGCTGCGTGCCCAAGGGCGGCGGCCGTGTGGTGGTTCTGAGCACGCTCTCCTCCCCCCCCTACCTGCCGCTCTTCCTGCAGCTGGAGTGCACGCTGCGCATGTCCAACCCGGGCCTGGAGCTGGCGGTGCTGCTGGAGCCGGGCCTACTGCCCAAGTCCAGCGAGCGCCTGCTGCGCAAGCTGGGGGTCACCCTGGTGAAGACGTCCCCCCTGGAGTACCCCAACACCTACGAACCCAGGTTGGTTGGTGGGTGTGAAGGTTTATGAGGAGATCTGGGGGACCACAGGCTGGCACTGGGGAGTTGGGAGCTGGAAGGGGACGTCCTTGGGGCTGTTGTGCACGGTTGCCTTGGAATTCGCTGAATCATAGCCAGATTATCTCTACACAATACAGCCCCTGTTCAACATTCCTCCCAACGACCCATCCACCGACTCTTTCACCGTCAGGTACGGCAAGAACTTCGTGAAGCTGAAGGCCTTCAACCTGACCCAGTACGACGCGGTGCTCATGGTGGACGCCGACACCGTGATCGTGGGCGATGTGGCACCCCTCTGGTCCCTGCCCACCCCCTTTGCCGCGGTGTGGGACCAGTACCGCTGGCTGGGCCGGCACCGCACCGGCCTGCGCGGCCTCAACGGTGGCGTGCTGCTCCTGCGCCCCTGCCCCGCCATCGCCGCCCACATGGCGGGCATCCTGGAGAGCCACCCCAAGCTGCGCTTCACCCACCGCGCCGCGGAGCAGGACTTCCTGGACTGGTACTTCCGGTACACGGGGACCGTACTGCCCCTGGAGTACAACGTGCAGGTGTGTTTTTTTGTTTGAGAGGGTGATGCCCACTCATCGCGAGGATGGCTGGGGCGCGGGGTGTTGGTGTCAGAGCGGGACGGTGGGTCGACCGCGGCTTCATCTGTGGGACAAGCGGTGGTGCACGCCGAGGGATTTCAAGGGAGGTTTGGGACCACTGCCGCGACTGACCTCCCCCCCTCCTGCCACCGAGGCCCCCGTGGTATCCACCCCCTTCTCCATAACCCAACCCTGTACGATCACCTCACCCTCCGACGCACGCAGACGGCGCAGAGCCTGGTGGGCAACCTCACGGTGGGCGGCGTGGCTCCCGTGGTACTGCACTTCACCAACCAGAAGCCCTGGCACGGTCGGGAGCCCGGCCGCCTGGGGCACCAGTTCCTGTGCAGCGCCGCCGACCTGAGGAGGCGCAGCGTGGCCGCCGGCATGACCTGAGGAGGGACACCTGAGCTGCACCAAGCGTGTCGCGCCAGTCGATGCTGGGGCGCACGCTGTTGTACCGTTCCCTTGGCATTCTTCATTCTTCAGAGGCTTCGCCGCACAATCTGCATCTCCAAGGTGCTTCGACCTCATGATTCAGGCCTACACCACACCCCCTGAGACCCTCTGCCATCTGGACTGGGTTCTCAGTCCTTTTACAATGCCCTGGTCTCGACAGGGCAGCATGTAGGGCACTGACATGCCTTGGGTGAGCCAGGACAGTACACGGGGTGACAAGTGGGTGCTCATGGCTCCCTCACTTCGAAAAGCTGAGCCTCAACACGGACACACGCACTCACTGTCATCGCCGATACCTCACGGGCGAGCGGGAGTCCCGGACCCTGCGCGGTGCAGGCGAGTAGCTGCGCCGCCGTGCCTCCCTTGATCGACTCCGCCTGGGACGGCGGGCATCCCTGTCTGGCAAGGGGCTGCGGAGCCGGCGCCGCCGGGGTGGTGACTCGGCCCTGCCTGTGGGCCTTCGGTCTTGCACTGGTTGACTTGAGGGGCCTCTTGATGTCTGTGCACCCATGTACGCCCCTTCCTCATCATCGGGCGAGTCTCTGGGTAGCGGCGAAGGTGGTGCAGGCGACAGCCCCCGTCGCTTCTCCTTCTTCTCCTTCTTCTCCTGTGGTGCAGCATGCAGAGTTGGGATGTACCAGGTTCCTCCGTGCGTACAAAACTATCTGGGATCAGACTGCTGGAGCTTACCTTTTTGGATTTCTTGGGCTTGTCGCTGTTCGCGCCGCTGACCGCAGCCGGCCGCAGTAGGTTTGGCGGCAGCGGAGCGTTCAACATACTGAACACGCTGCTTCCAGCTGCCCAGGGCTCGTCTGCTGGCACAGGTGGCTGTCGGGCAGAGGCGTCAGGGGCCTCAGCTTCTGACCGACTCCGTACTGGGTCTGGCCTCGCGGTGTCCTCCGCACCACTCCCAGGATCAGGCTCGCCTTCCATCTAGAGATGAATACGACAAACGAGGGAATGTTTGTCAAACTTATGGTGCACTTCCTATGCTATGCTGCACATTTCCACGGATCCACCATCACTAGTCAGTGACGTCTGGTCACCGCACTCCAGCTGTCTCCTCAGCCTCTGACACACTCTCACCTCGGCGCGCTTCCTCCGGTAGTTGTCCACATGTTCCACTCGGAGCGTGCGACCAGAGACCTTGGCGCCCGAGAGGTTGTCGACCGCTACTACAGTGGACCGCTGATCCTCGTAAGCCAGAAAGGCAAAGCCCTTTGGCTTTCCTGTGAGCAGAGCGATGAGAATAGACAGTCATCATTTGCATGACAGGTGCAAGGCAATGTAAGTGATTGCCACAGCGACTGCAGTGCAGGAGGACGAGGACTTGATTGCAGGGCCAAACACCAGCCCTGCCGAAGCCACCAAATGGTGCGCCACCGAATCTGGACGTCCACTCGTGTTCCCACAATGAACAACTTGCCTGTCTTCCTGTCCCGGCTGAGACTCAGGTCGACGATCTCGCCATACTGCGCAAAGATGGCGAGGAGGTCCCCCTCTGTCAGGTTCAGGGGCAGCCCGCCAGCAAAGATGTAGGCAGAGTGCTTGAACCTGGAGTGCCAGGAAGACTTGTCGCTGAGACCCAGCTCAATCTCATCCTTGCTGATCTTCTGGGTATTTTTGATCTGCGTCAGAGGATTCATGGTCTAGGACGGCTCTCTGCCTGCGTAGGAATCTGTGGCTCCAAAGTCTTACAAAGGACCTCAGGTCGCTCAGATTGACAAGAAACGACTTTCGAGGCTCATTGTTGTAGATCAATGCTGCGCAGCGTGCCTGTGCCTGCTGACTGCCTCGTAAGAGGGTCAGTGCAGCTGAGAGTCCAGACGGCTGTCGGCAGAGGAGCCCCAAAGACGACTAACGGTAGCTTACAATTCAGACGATCGCGAACTTGCGCACCACTGCATCTTATCCGATGAGTCTTTCTTGCGCAGCAGTCCACAGCCCTGACGTCGAGTGTCAGTGTCGGGCAAGCAAGCATTCCGAGCGCGCGCTAGGTTTGGCGGGACCTCCCCTCACCCTGATGATACCCTCCAGCATATACAGTGGAGGCAGGCCCAACCCCAGACAAGTCTGCTGCAGAGCAGCTACGACCCTCGCCCCTCTTTCGGATACCACTCTTGATAACGCTTGGACGGGGTCCTGTACATCTCGGCTGTAGGGTTGCCAACCTGTCGCTGGACACCCTTGAAGCCCTGCACCAGCCACCATGGACCTTTTCCGCAGCGAAGAGGTCCATTTAATGCAGGTGAAAGATCGTGGTACCAAGAGTATGGCTCTGCTGGCTCAGTGGAGTGTCACCGAGTATGGTCGCGCTGGGGATCGCCTGTGCCAGCGAGGGCGACGACCCCTCCCTTCCCTCCCCCCGCAGCTGATGATACCCTCCGAAGTCGCCCATGACACCATCGTGGCCTTGGGTGAGGTGGGCATGCTGCAGTTCAAAGACCTGAACCCGGAGAAGCCAGCTTTCCAGCGGACCTATGCTGGCCAGGTGAATCACAAGGACCTTCTTGTCCTGGATAGTATGGGCACTCTACAACGGGATGAATCTGCGTAGGATTCGTATTGCATTCAAGTATGTGCGTGCGTTTTGGATGTCTACGGTTCGCTTACTTCTTCTGTCTCCTTTCCAACATCCCGCTCCTGTCATGTAGCACCCACTCACTGAGCACTCCTTCCCATTCTCCCACTGCGCAGATCAAGCGCTGTGACGAAATGGCCCGCCAGATTCGCTTCTTTCAGTCCGAGCTGGAGAAGCGGGAGATCCCCGTCGCGCGGCGCGGCGCCGACCCTCCCACCCCCGACCTGGATGCGCTGGAGTCGCAGCTGGCGGGGCTGGAGACGGAGCTGACGCAGCTGAACGCCAACACAGATCGTCTAGACCGCTCGTACAACGAGCTGCAGGAACTGCAGCTGGTGCTGGAGACCGCGGGCACCTTCTTCGAGGACGCGCACTCCAACGCCCTGCAAGTCCGCGATGAGCATGCCCTGACCGCGGAAGGTGAGTGGTTCAACAGCTGTTGGGAGGTTCAGGGGAGTTGTTTGGGTGACAAGCTGTGGCAAGGACGGGCCAGATTCTTCTCCCTGGTATAGAAGCATGGGACTTCGCTCTGCCTGCCTGTACCCACCTACCTGCGTGCCTGCAGGCGCGTAGCATCGCATGCGTACCATGCCAACGGATCATATGATGCGCACAAGCATCCCCGCCCCGCATCCCATCCTACACCCCCTCCCCCCACCCGTCGACCACTCCAAAGGCGGCCAGCTGGACATGGGCGCGCCGCTGCTGGAGAGCGCGTCCTTCACCGAGCCGGCGGGCATCCAGCTCGGCTTCCTGGCCGGGACCATCCAGCTGGAGAAGCTGGCCGCCTTTGAGCGCCTGCTCTTCCGCGCCACGCGCGGCAACATGTACCTGAAGCACGGGGAGGTGGGCACCGTGGCCGACCCGATCACCGGCGAGGGACAGGAGAAGTCGGTGTTCACCGTCTTCTTCGCCGGCGAGCGTGCGCGGTCCAAGATCGCCAAGATCTGCGAGGCCTTCTCGGCCAACCGCTACCCCTTCCCCGAGGACACGGCGCGGCGCCGCGCCATGGCCGCCGAGGTCGGCGCGCGCCTGCGCGAGTTGCACGCCACACTGGAGGCGGGCACGCGCGCGCGTGGCGCGGTGCTCTCCTCCCTCGCCCAGCGCCTGGACGCCTGGGGCGTGCAGGTCCGGCGCGAGAAGGGCGTGTACCACACGCTGAACAAGCTGTCGGTGGACGTCACGCGCAAGGTGCTGGTGGCCGAGGCCTGGGTCCCCGTGGCCTCGCGCCCACGCGTGCACGATGCGCTGCGCGCCGCGGCGGCCGCCGCGCACTCGCCCGTGGGCACCGTCTTCCAGCCGGTGGTGACCTACGACCCACCCCCCACCTTCTTCCGCACCTCCAAGATCACCGCCGCCTTCCAGGAGCTGGTGGACGCGTACGGCATCGCGCGCTACCGCGAGGCCAACCCCGCCGTCTTCACCATCGTCACCTTCCCCTTCCTCTTCGCCGTCATGTTTGGCGACGTGGGCCACGGCCTCCTCATGCTGGCCTTTGCCGTCTGGCTGGTGGCCTCCGAGCGCCGCCTGGGGGCCCAGCCCCTGAACGAGATCCTGGCCATGTTCTTCCAGGGCCGCTACATCATCCTGGCCATGGCCGCCTTCTCCATCTACACCGGCCTGCTCTACAACGAGTTCTTCTCCATGGTCACCACCCTCTTCGGCGCCAGCCGCTGGGCCTGCGCGGAGGACGCCGCCATCACCGACCCGGTGGCCATGCAGATGGACCACACGCTCTGCCCCTCCGCCTTCAACTCGGGCCTGGCCATGCCGCGCCCGGGCGCGCCCTACCCGGTGGGCGTGGACCCCGCCTGGCACGGCACCCGCACTGAGCTGCCCTACCTCAACTCGCTGAAGATGAAGATGTCCATCGTGCTGGGCATCGCGCAGATGAACGGCGGCATCCTGCTGTCCTTCCTCAACCAGCGCTACTTCTCCGACTCCCTCTCCACCTGGTAAGGATTTGTGTCTGGTGGGGTCGCATGCGGTGGGGCGGTGCTGTGGGCAGCATGCCGCAGGGGCTGATGGGATTGGAAGGGATTGCTGCACCCACAAGGGGACGAGCGTCGACTCCTGCTCCATTGCCTCTCTGTCTGGTGCTGTCTGCCCTGTGAGTTGTGTCGAGAGATCCCTGCCCAGGGACTAGGGGCCCGTTGGTAGGCTGGATGCTGGCCTCCAGGTTTCCTTGCACCTTGGTCACAC